TAGCTTGTTTCAATGCCAAATTCTCATCCAACATGGCTTGCAGGCTCCATTTGTGTCTGAAGACACTCATAATAAATATTTCTGAAGTTAACTTGATCGCTTGTGAGTCGGAAGTTGTCGGGCCGGTGATCACATGTGATATGGCGTGCTTGATTGATGTCAATGATACCAAATGCGGTGCACCACCCGCCGTCCTTCCTTCCTTTTCCCCCCATGTCCCCTGCGACCACTCTCCATCCCTGTCCTCATCTGCCCCCAATGTTACCTCTGCCAGCTCAAACAACGATCCCTCAATCACCCAAGACCCAAACTACCCTGCCGCAAGTATTCGCAAGCGCCGCAAGTAGTGAAGTCAATGCTGTCAAGTGGTCAAGGCTTTCGTCAAGCCCCTCAAGCTTCCCTCCAGCCTGCGCAACTCATCAAGCTTCCGAAGACTCGGGACTCAAGCGTGCAAAGCGAGATGGGGTAGCGAACAGAGTGGGGATGACACATGATGTGGAGGCGGCAGAGGGCGATGGACAGCGGAGGCGCCTGGGGCTGGCGCGAGATGTGCACGACGCTGCCCTGGGTCTCCTCGCTCCAGACATGGAGGAGCGGGCCAGCACCATTGCGGGCCTTGACGGGCGGGATATGTGTGCCAACAGGGCGGGGAAGATACACAGAGGCGTTCGAGGGAGACGTTCGAGGGGCGGAAGATGGTCTGGTAGGAGATGGGGAGGTGGAGATAGGAAGGCGGGTGCGATGTTGAAGTGGTGTGGGTTGGGGAATGAATCGGGACACTCTGGATGTATGTAAATACAAATACAGTCAATCTATCTGTTAGTCGTCATCCGTATGAATGAGCATTGGTATAAGTAAATAGCTAGGGGGTGCCCAGAAGTTGCCTGTTCTGTGCTCAGAACACATAGTGGGATTATGAGGCGAATATGCTCCCAGAATAAATTCTGGGCCCAAAACTCATTCTGGCTGTCTGGGTGCCTTGGGATGGCATGGCCCCAAGGCTCCCAAGACCGCCCAAGAAAATGTAATTTTGCTGATGTGGTGGAGGGGCGAGCGTTGAAGATGGGGAGGGAAAGATGGTGCTGGTGTTGTTGGGCCAGCGCAGAGCTTAGGGTAGCTCAATCTGAGTCGCTTCGGCTTGGAATGGCCCCGGTGCGCGTCGCCCATGTCGGCGAAAGCTCTTGGAACGTACGCTGATCGTTTCGGCGCGGTTTAGCGCTCGGTGCCGCTCTACTAGGGACCAGGGCGTGTTCTCCCAGAGATCGGTGAGTGCCGGGCTCAGTTCTCGGTCGTTCTGGCTGAAACCATTAGCACGGGTAGCGCCAACATGGTGCTCAAATTCCTCCGAATCCTGAAGGAAACGGGCCAGCGGCTAGCCCTGCGCTCGCTGACATTTGTTGCGCGAAATTCGCGTCCAGCAGGCTTAGTTCCGACGTGTTCCGCCTGAAAGTCTTAGAATACGACGGCGCAATGCTCCCTTCCATTTCCTGAGAATCTCAGGCGGAACGAGCCGGCGCCTGGATCTGCGCGGCCCTCCCTCTGTTTTCAGAGACAAGCGTCGTTCTGGCGAGGAACGACGAAGCCTTCGGGGTCAAGTTCGTGTGCTACTCTGAGTGGTCTTTCAGGCTTTGTGAGCGGTCTACTATTGCAATTCGGCCACGCACCGTAAGGCCTCCCGAACATGTGTGATCCCTCTTGCCAAACGGCCGGGTGACGCGTTGCCTTCACCAGCATTTTAAGGTGTTTTCAGGACTTTAAATGAGGCTTACTAGATATTGAATGCTGAAGTAGGCCACATGTCGAGCATTTTGAAGATGTCGGAGTGAGGTTTGGAGCCATTTGGCAGGTTGAAAAAAGATTGTCATCGTAGGCAGAGGAAAGCTGTGTCGGCATGACGTGAGAAAAATTCGAGCTATGATGTCATTTTTCTTTCATCTTACTGCAACAGAGTGAGCCCGCGGTAGGAACGCGGTAGGTAGGAGCCAACCACGCGGCCGGCCACGCGGCCAGTCCGCGTGTTCCGGCACGCCGTAGCCTGTGCCCCCAGTGTAACCCCTACATATCATGATGTGGCTCGTACTCTGGCAGAGGCTCATCATAACCAAAGCGCCTCCCAGTCCTGGGTGGGGCTGCCATAAAATCACTTTGACCATGATTGTTACGCTTGCGATCCCCTGGTGAGCGTGCAGGACAGACACTGGCAGTATAGTTACTAGTTGTGGTGCCAAAGCTTCCATCCCCAACCGTTCCATTGCCTGAGCTGGTGTAGGGAAGGTCTGAGCTAGCAGAGGGAGGATAGTCTAGATACAGCTCTGTGATCGGAGGTGGGTTCGGATTAGTGCTGGGAAATGGCACTATGGTTGTGCCAAGGTCGCCTCCTTCTTTCCGCTGTTGCCCCGGGAGATATTTTCTTAGCCGCCACAGGAGCACCCCAACTAGAACTGCCACAGCAACCAGGCCGCCAATAACTCCGCCGACAATGCGACCTACTCTCGAGGGATGTGGGAAAACAGGCGTCGAACGGGGGGCTGTGGGGGTGGGAGGGACCCCAAATGTCGCAGTTTGTGTGTTCGTGCTCATGGAAGATAGTACATTTGCTGTACTAGTAGCTATCCAATATTGTCAGTATCACCATATCCCTGACATACAAAAATAACACACTTGTGGCCATATCAAGCACCTGTGGTGTTGGCTTTCCACTGTTTGCCAAGGTCGCTGTTGTGCCTGTTCCGTCGAAGCACTCGCCAAATGTTACATCGACGAGCCCACAAGAGATATGGAATCCGTTGTCGAAATTGACGGAATCCTCCACCCAGCCCGAAGCGGAGACAACGATTGTTCGTGAATCTTCGCAAAAACATTATTCAAGTGAGTTAATATTCAGGGATTTTGGGCACTGGCACATACCAGTGACCGGCACCGTCTCCTTTGACTGAATGCCATTCACCGCTGTTGTTATAACCCCTGGGTTGACGGCTTGATAGAGGTAGGTCGTCGCAAACCCATCGGGAGCCGTACGCGTCCCCAGCGGCACAAGGGGGAGAATGGTGGAGCGGCCCGGCGCAAGACGACCAGCCCCAAATTGCCAAATTGTGACTCGCGTCTGAGAATGGGTTGCTATTGGGGGTCAGCAGACATCCTAATCGAACAAAGGCACGATTAAATACATGCAATTAGCGCAAGGACCGTGAGGAGGGTGCAAAACACAGAGCTTGCATAGTGGCGTGGCCGAATGGCGTGCGCCCGCCAAACGCCGGCGTGCACGCCACTGATGGTGGTGGCGTGGCGTGTGATGGCGTGGGACACTTCCGAAGGGTTCTCTCTGTTGTTCGTCGCCGTTCGGCGTGTTCCTCGGTGCGTCCCAGTGGCTGTAGCGATTTCCCATATAGCTGCTTACTACGATTCCGGTGTCGCCGACCGGTGTGCTCCGGCCTTCCCGGCATCAACCGGCGAGGCAACCATATGCCTCCCTCGCCCATACTCCGATGACATATGGCGTCTGGGAAGCCTTCGCAACTTATGTGACATGACAAGGTGCGAATTAGTGGCCTCAACGCGCCCGGCGGCGGCGCATCAGGAATGTGTGACAGATGTTACTGGCCAGCATGTGTGACTTGGCCACTCCGCAACTACTGTTATAATTAGGGCCCTAAACCATTCTCAATGTCTCGGCAGTCAGTGCTGGCTGGGGTGTTTGACTTTGTGCTCGGACCCGCGCCACGCCCGGCGCGGATGTCGGTGACTCGGTGTGCACGCTGGCCGAAGCCCGGCCCAGCCCGCTGTCGGGAAGCCCGAGACAAGCCCGGATGCGCCGGTTCGGCGGTCAGTGCTGGCTGGGGTGTTCCAGTGGCAGTTTGACTTTGGGCACGGAGGCAGCGGGCGCGGGCGGGTAGCAGGTGGCGGGGGCTCGGAGGTGAGGGTGGTCGATGGGGTCACGCGTAACCTCCACAGTCAGCGTGTCGTTGACGCAGAGGCACAGGGCGCGACGGCGGCGGTCGCGGACGGGCAGCTTGCCAATGCTGGAGTGAACGGCTATGTGGTCGATGTGGAGGCGGGCAGCGAGGAACCGGGTGCAACGCCCGCGAGGTCGGAAACGTGACCTCTGTGTCAGTAAGAGCGGAGGGTGGCGTTGGGTGGCGTTGGAGATGCTGGGCACACGCCATTTTGGTCGGGCGTGCCAAGCCGACCAAATGGCGTGCACGCCTGATGGCTGGCGTGGGCTTTGATCGTCAGCCAAAAGCCACTCCCACGCCACGCCACGCCACTTGGCGCTGGCGCACGCCATTCGGCCACGCCAAAACGGCACCTCTCGTGCAAAACATGTGGGGAGGATCCGAAGATGAGCTCAGGTTGCTGAAAAGGTGCCAGCTGAGACCTTGGCAGAGGCAGTGGACAGCAGGAAGGATGAGGCAGACGGGAGACCATCAGTCAGAACCCGGGTCCGAGTCATCCACATAATCGGCATAACCGCCACGGCGACGAATGCTCCACCAGCGCGCTGCGCGACGGGTAAAAGGAAGAGGTGAAAATCACGTTATGACATCCCCACGTCATATGGCATGGCACTACGGATTGATCCGATACTCTCTTTGCTTCTCACTGTCATCTTTGCCTCAGTTTTTTGCCTGACGACGACCCCTGCGAGCTGAATCGAGTACAGCAACGGCTAGATGGTCTTTGCAGCACTGCTCCCCATACGTGTTCAACAGCACAACTTTTGACTTGCCACCCGACGAAAGCAATGTATCATGGCCTATTCTGGAGGGAAGATTCCGGTTGCAGGCTCGCAGAGGCAGCCAATCCGATAGAACTACCTGTGTGAGTCAAACACTCATCCGCAGGGTCTCCATCCCGACATCTCAGATATCTCACCGCGCCATCATCATCTTGTTGGGACGATGGACAGAATTAGGACCGTTAAGTCCGAGACACTGACGGCGACCCATATAACCGAGTCATCTTGAACTTCCTGACATCCTACTCTCCTTCCCTTCGGCAACATGCCACCGCTCCGCCGAGACCTATCCACTCGGAATGTCGCATTTACTTGTCCCAGCACTGTTGGTGAACTGCTTGGTTCGCAAACTGACGTGGAGGGGGGGACCCTGGCCTGTTTCTATTCAGGTCAAAGGCTGCCTGAATGTGATTACTTTCTTTCGGTTCGCTTCTGTGTGCCCTCAACTTAAGTATACGACGCACTAATATAATATGCAGGATGGCACCTTCAAGAAAAGCATTGCCGGTGCAGTCTGTCCGGGCAACGCTGATGTTCAAGCCGCTACTACTAGTACCGTCACCGAGCTCAGGACAGTGACTGTGGTATTGTGAGTCTTGAAGTTTTCATTCCTGTTGCTGTGGTGAACTGAGAAACAGAACAAGAACCCAAGTCGCCGAAATACAGACTGTCACGACAACATTCACTCAGAGCGGTCTCACGGTAACCCAGACAGTGACGACTTCTATGGGTCAATCCGACGAGTTTAGTTCGAAGAGGGTCGAAACAACGACCTTGACTCGGACGCAACCATCCTTTCTACCAGAAGTCCAACAGACACTGTGCGTGCGTCCTCGTAGTTCCTCAGTAACTCATTGCTGCATAGATTTCCAGCCGCAGAGCGCGCAGTTATCGCATTATCCGTCGTCACGGGCATATTGCTTATCTCGTTCTGCATCCTTCTTATCCTATTCCGTCGTCTGAGGCGAGCACACCGATCGTGCGCCAATGTGCGGGACATCGCCAGGCCTGAGAAAGGAACGTTCGTCATACATCGCGTTACGGGAGACTCCGCACTTGTGCAAGAACGACCATTATCATCAGCTGGTAGCGCCGAGCAGATTTTACAGCGCTCTCCGCCCAGCTCGTCATTTGCTGCCGTTCTGTTGAGCGACATTGGGTCCCCGTCAAACGAGGCCCTCACAGATCCCTTCGCCAGTACCCCGAGTCTCGTTCAAACCTCGAGGAGGCTATCTCAGTCGACAACACAAACGAGTAGCCAAATTGTGACTCAACTTGAAGACGACGAAATCAACATAACTATAATGGAGCCTGAGCTTCCAGAGCGCATTCTTTCCATGGATTCATTCTCCGTCACACCAGTACTTCATCCACCATCGACTCAAATGGACATCGAAAGCCGGAACGAGGTCCTTCGGCTGCGGTTGAGTCGGCTGGAGATGGAGCTAGGCTTGCTGGACCAATTGTCTCTCGAACACGACTCTCTCCCGCCGTCATACCACAGTCCAAGTCAGAAATCTGGCACCCAGTTCGGAGAGGCGACGACCATGTAGCGTGTTTTTGCACGTATTTCGGACTAGTAGACGGTCGCTATACATTCGTTTATTTCGCGGGGATTTGTATACACTTCTCTAACTTGTATTATAATATGGGACAGTATCGTACACTGTTGTTATCAGGGGCTACTATATCGCCCGACTACAAGTTGTACATTATTCTGTTCACACACAATCTACGGTGCTTTTTCAGGCGGAACATTCTCCGAGTACATGGGCGGCGCTACACTTTCCGGGGAGTCGGATGAGCCTCGCGGCTGCGTCGACGTCAAATACATCATGCGTTTACGTGTCTTGGGCGAGGGAGACGGGGCCGTGATGTCAGTGCTATAGGGCAGGTCTGAGGGAAGATCTAACGGGATGGCATCTGATGGGCGGAGCACATGGGGATGTGCGGGGTCATCGATGAGGAATGGCCAAGGTTTTGTTGAGCGTTCGACATGGGGGTTGCGTTGTCGGCAGAGTCGACGGCGAACTAGCAAGGCGACGCATATTAGAACCGTCAACAGTAGGACACCCCCGATGACGCCCCCGATAACTTTCGCCGTCTGGGCTTTGCCGTGAGTCGGTGGTGGGAGCGCAGGGGTAGACGATGTGGGGGTTTGGTTCGGGATGGTCGATGTCAAGGTGCGGTTTGCCGAAGGAGCTAAAGACCCTTCAAAATTCCACGTTTTAGGGCGTAAAACGGCAACTGACCATCGCTTGGCGGCGTCGAGACGATGAACACCTGGGGAGTGGGCTTTCCCTGGCCAATGAGCGTTGTTGTTGTTACCTTTCGGTCATAACATTCCCCATGTGTCGCATCCACGAAAGCACAGGCGATATCCCGATTCGGCGGGACATGCTCAATCCAGCCGGACGCAGACGCAACAATAGTGCGTGGAGCTAGAAATGGATTCGGCTGGAGTATAACATTCCTAGAGCGGCTCACCTGTGGTCGTAGAGACCGTAGTCTTCGTATTCCCCCTCAACTTCGTGATGATAGTGGCCTGGTTGATAGCCTGGTAGAGGTATGTTGTCGCCGCTGCACCGGGAGCCGTCCCCAGAGGCACTAGAGGATAGGTCGTAATCGCGGTGCCGACCACGCCGCCGGCGCCAAATTGCCAGAGCGTTACTTCCGTCGCCAGGACGTCTGTGCATCGGATAGTAAGTGAGCGTTTATTTGGTAGCATGACAGCGCACTCAACGTCGGGGCTGCCGCAAGAAGCAACGGAGGGCAGAGCTTCATGGTCGAGTGGGACCAGGGCCGCGGCACGCGCATGGTGTCCCTCTCGTTTTATATTGGAGGATTTGACTACGTCACCAGGAGAGGCGGGAAGAGATCAAAGCTCGACCAGCGGGAGACCACTGCAGAAATGACAGCGGGGGTCGCGACGTGTTGACGTGATGCAGGACATAGTTGGAGCCGTCCCAGTGTGCCTGAGTGAGTGGCTTCTCGGAGCGTCGGCTGTGGCGGACATGGCAGCTGCAGAGGGGCACTGCCTGCGTTCAGGGCTTTTCTCGGAGCAATAATGGAGGCACACACCTCCGCTGACGCCGCAGACGGGATGGAAGAAGAAAGCAAGAGAGCAGTCGACATGACAACGCGCAGGGCTGTGCGCAGATCCATTTGATGGCATCTTGTTGCGGAAGGTGACACCTGCTGGACCAGATATGGAGTAAAATGGACGCAATCAAGTAGACAGGGTTTGGCGGAAGACGTTGGCCAAGCTTAGGACGTGGCGCAAAAGAAACCGAACGGGCCTGACCGGGAATTGAACCCGGGACCACCTCGAAGTGACAAGAACGCCCTAACAAGGTATCATACTACTAGACCATCAGGCCGATGGGCGAGTTCCTCAACTAGGCGTCAGATCTGTAGCGGGTCACGCCGTGTCACGCCAATCGCTCCTCCAGTTGGCATCACGGCGTATTTCTTCCCTCTCAGTCTATTACCATTGCATAGACCTGCCTGCTCCGCCCCCAGCCTCGACGCTTCACCACCCGAGTGCATCACGCCACCTTCCATTTCGGGCCCACTTATTGTTTCGCCAAGAACTGGCGCTAAATCAGGATTAGCGCGCCTCGAGGCGTGACACCTGACCGACGTTACTTCTAGGCTTCTTGGGCTGTGACGCGAGGGAGCCGAAGAAGCCCGAAAGAAGCCCGAAGGAGCCTATGCCCGAGAACGCCTCCCTGGGCGAAGAAGCGGCGCGGGTGTGCGGTTGTCGAGAAGGCTTAAAGGAAGATAAGATTATCAGGCGCGACCTTCAGGCTCGCGTAGCTGGGGGATCCTGAGGCAAACTTGGAGAGGGGACGATGTTAGGCTTAGCCTCGAGGGGCCATGTGCGGCTGGAGCCGTAGTAAAAGTTTGAATGCAAATACAGGTAAACAGGAGGATTCTCGTCTGCGCGAGACCAAGAGGGCCTTGGCTTGTTGGTACGAGCACCATGTCCTCGACGGCATGTGTAGCTTACCTTCGACGCTCGACGGACGACGCCATGGCCACAAACATGGACGCATCTCCGGTCTCCGGCGACTGGCTTGACCGGATGCCGGCGCGCCGCGGGGCGGTGTTTCAAATTTCGCTGATAGGGTGTACTTTGATACCGATGGCTGTTCCGAAGAACGAGAAGACTGCCCGTAAGCGTCTATGCCTCATCGTCCCGTGGGTTCTGACGCGGCTGGCTATTGCGCTGGACTGCGTTCATTGGCTAGAGCGCATAACACTGCGGGTTTAGCGCCGACTCTTGGGCGGGGCGCCATCCGTTTGGGCTCCTGCATCGCTGGGCGGCTGTTCCTGCGCGATGTCGCTCCTTGGTCGCATGTCTTTTTGCCGAGTTATTTTCGTGCGCGCAGCGATGTGATAAGGATGGTCTGATTATCTGTCACCCAGCTGATGGGCCCCGGTCCAGACATTGCCAATTTCCGTTCCGCATCCTCCATCCTCCAACGAGCCTAGTCGCTCTGTCTACGACGACTCTGCCACCTGCGACTGTTGACGACGCTCGACAGCGGACACGGGCATCAGCCACGCCAACGCCACTTTCCCATTTATCACCCCATCTCGCGTAATCGCGATCGGGGCCTGCAGATCTCGTCACGCCATCAGTGTCACGACGTGTCCTAGCCTTATTCGGCCGCCTCTTATATATGCTGCCGCCCAGTCTGACGGCTCTCCCACCTATGCCCGCTGCCTCTGTCTGACGCCCCCTTCCCCTCCCCGGTCCTTCCCTCTTTCCGCCCCGCCCCGCACACCCTGCTGCTTGAGGATACCGCTTGGAGTGAGTCCCTTGTTCTTCGCTTGTGATTCTGGGGGAAGGCGCTGGCTGGGTGGGGGTGGAGCGAGAAGGGCAGCGAGGCGAGCGAGAGGGCAGGCGACCTGCGACAAGGACGCCGGGCTGGCAACGGTCCTCGAGGGATGCCTGCTTGTTCACTGGCCCGCTGGCGACGTGGCCTGATTCGCATCTCGCTGGGGCGGGCATCGTGCCCGTCTTGGCTCCCCGGCCAGCCCATGCCTGTGTTTTGGCGCTCCCCTCCCTGCGCTACGCCGATGACGACGATGCTCACCTGCTGTCCAGATCTCGCGACCCTTTTCAGCCCCATCTTCACCACCTCCACCACCCCTTCCCTCTGCCCGCCCAGTACGCTGTAGCCTAGCTCGCGACTGCCCCACGACCAACATCCCCCTACACACCACAACAGCGTCAGACAGAACCGCTTGCTCGCACACGGTTTTACGCCCGCTGCACCCACCAACCCCACAACCAGCCCAATCAGACTGTAGACCGCTGATAATCTCGCGACTACTCTCTACTGTCCACCGCATACATCAACACCACCACCAACGCCACTGTTTCCCAGCTAGAAGAAGAAATGTCGAGCACTACCACCACCAGCACCCTCGCCAACTTACCCGCTGCCTCACTGTCGAGCAGCCCCACCACCACCACTGCTATCGCCCCAGCCACGGGCCCCACCGACGCCACCATCCCCAACCCTGCTGCACCAATCAAACGCCCCCGGCGCCGTGCCCCCACGGCCGAGCGCCGGGCAACCCACAATGCGGTCGAGCGCGCGCGCCGCGAGACCCTCAACGGGCGCTTCCTCGCATTGGCGAGTCTGTTGCCGCCGTTGAGGGTAATCCGAAGGCCCAGCAAGAGCGCCATCGTCAATTCGAGGTCAGTTTCTTGTCTCCTTGCAGCGTTATCAGATTAATCGTCGAATAGTATTGCGACCGTCCAGGCTGCGAGGCGCCACCGGGTGCTTGCGGCCCAGACTTTGAAAACGATGTTGAGGGAGACTGAGGCTTTGCGCCGAGTGAGTTCGCTAAGCACACTTGTATTTTTTGGGGGCTAATGTTTGTTTAGGAAGTAAACGAATGGCGTACGCGCGCACGTATCCCGACTCTGGATGCGCCGCTGCGCAGCGAGACAGACAACCAGGCCCTCGACATGGTCCTCCGCGGCGAAGTCGAGGAGCTCGAGGTCGACCTAGACGTCATCGGCGAGTTTGAGGAGGAGAACGAGAACGACGAAGAAGAGGAGGGCGAGGAGAACATGATGAGCAACAGCTACCACGAGGAGGATGTGAAGCCGCCCGTCAACGCCAACGACGCGCGCTTTGCATTCGAGATGTCGCCGGTGTCCCCGATGAGCGCGATCTCGGGGCCGATGAGCGCGATGGCGATGGGCATGCCTATCCCCAGCCCGCCGTCGACGAGGGGCTCCATGTCGATGCCCAGTCCTGGCGCATCGTCGGATGCCGGCTCGTGGGACGGCCCGCGGACTCCGCCCAGCCCGGTCAAGGCGATGTACCGCAACAAGCCGCCGACTTACAACCAGGAGCAGTATTATCAACACCAGCAGCAGCAAGTCAAGGGCGCCGGCGCGGCGTACGATTTGGGGCTCGATATGGGCTTCGAGCAACAGCCGCAGTATGCCCCCGCGTCAGCCCAGCCTGGCTACAACAACGCTGGCGCATATGGATACGATGCATTCCCTGCTGGTGCTCAGTCGTACAACGGATTTGACGGGGGCTGGGCGAACGTCAACCCTGCCCACCCGGCGTTCTACGGCGTGGCCGGCGTCGCCCCGGGCCAGTATCTCCACCAGCCGCGGGCGATGGGGACGTTCTAGACGCGCTGCTTCGAGAACAACGCCAGATACCCTACCCCCATATGCTCGCTGCCCCCGCCGTTGACGGACTGTACCTCTTGCTTTTGCTTTTGCCTCGTCTTCTCTCTCCTGCTTGGTCGTTCTGACTACTATATCGCACACTCGTTTGACCCGTCTCGTCTCCCGCTCACGACTCGCCCTCGTCTATCTATTCTATTGCTATACGTATAGAATGCTTGCTTGCCTGCTGCCCTGTCTGCCTGCTTGCGTGCCCTTCCTTCCTTTACTTCCACTTCCACCATCGCTTCCCCTGCGCACGTACACGTACTTGCGCTTGCTGCTCGCCTCCTCCTTGCGACACGCTGCACTGCCCGGCTTCCATCTGCCAGATGCTTCCGGGCGGGCTTGCTCCGGCGCTTCTCGCAGATATGGCACGCTTCGCCGCGGGTGGATGCGTGTCATCTGTGTTAGGCTTAGCCCCCTCCGCTCCTTTTTGTACCGACCCTTTCTTGTACTGCTGCGTGTACGTTCGTTAAGTTTATATATACTGTATTGAGCTAGCAACCGTGTGGAGGGTGGGGGGGACCGGTGTGATTGCTTGGGTGGATCGTCCCAGGGTAAGTATCGTTGCTTCGGAAGGATCTTGCGCAGGCAGATGGCTGTGTGGGCGTGGAAGTTTGATGCGTGGTTTTAGCTATGGATGAATGTGTTGAGAATATCCCCCCCGAGAAGGCGATGTAGATCGCATGTAGAACTCATAAGCAGCAGGTAGTCGGATATCGATTACAACAGGTGTGTACACCATTCCCCAAAGTGTAATCAAAGCTGCAGAAGCCATAGATGACGTAGGATACCCAGAAGAAATGAATCATACTCATCTGGGCAAAATAACGCTAAATGCTCCTCCCCTCTCCGAACTGGCTTGCCGTTTCTTCTACTAGCAGCTGTGCGCCCGATTTCTGACTGGGGCTGTGGTACGACGGCGGGAGGGAGTCGTGTTCCACGGACAGCTGGTCCAACAGCCCCAGCTCCATCTCCAGCCGGCTCAGCCGCAGCCGCAGGACCTCGTTCTGGCGTGCGATGTCCAGTTGGGTCGATGGTGGACGGAGTTCTGGTGGGACGGAGAATGAATCCACGGAAAGGACGCGCTGTGCAAGTATATTGATATTTGTTTCGTCGTCCTCGAGTTGGGTCACAACTTGGTTGCTCGTTTGTGCAGTAGATTGAGACAGCCGGCTGGAGGTTTGCACAAGACTGGGGGTACTGGAGAAAGGATTTGCGACGGCTTCGTCGGACAGGGTGGTAACCGGAACGGGAGCAAATGTCGAGCGGGGCGGATCAATCGTCTGTACGGCACCGCCAGCCAATGGTGATATCGGGACCTCCTGCGCAAGTCCAGCGTCTCCCGTAACTCGATGGATGATGAAGGCGCCCTTCTCCGGGTCGATATCGCGCGTATTTTTGCCCGTGTCCCAGCGCCGTGATCGCCAGAAACGATGGAAGAGAATGAGAATGATGCAGAAGGAGATAAGCAAGATGCCGGTGACGACGGATAACGCGATAAGCGCGCGCTGGGCAGCTGGAACTCTGCCAGGTGTTCAGTTTTAGAACACAGGACTGAAACAAACTTGAACGCACAGTGTTTGTGGTATTGTTGGCACTGGCAGGAAGGATGGTTGACTCGTTAGAGTCGTTGTTTCTATCAGTGAACGAAGCTCGGGGGTTTGACTTCCAGAAGTTGCAACTGTCTGGGTTACAGTGATGCCGCTCTGAGTGAACGCAGTCGCCAGACCCGCCACGGTCTGTAGTTGGGTCTGGGTCGTCGTTCTGTTTTGGTTTTGAGTCAGCTGTAGTTGCAGAAAGTTGAAGGGAAACTTTCAAACCCACACGAGTACAGTCATCGTCCTGAAGGCCGTTGACGTGACGGGAACGGCCTGAATGCGTGTTGTCGTCGACTCATCAGCCGTCTGAGCGTTGCCGGGACAGTCAGGCCGCGAGAGGCTTTGGTCAAGAGTGCCATCCTGCACAATATGTTAGGGCATCATGCAGCAGTCAGCCTGAACACCAGTGCGTACCGAAAGAAAGTATTTACAATCTGCAGCCCTTGCATCTGTGTATGAGCACATAAGCAACCCGTCCTGAATATCGATGTCTGAATCCGTCAGTGCGCCGCCGAAATTGCTTGGACAAATGAATGTGAAAGGGAAGGCCCGAATGAGTGGCGGCATGTTCCCGAAGAAAGAGGGGAGCGAGATGTGGGTAGCGTACGAGAAGGGTTATATGGGTCGCCACCAGTGCATCGCACTTAACGGTCATAATTATGCCAGTCCATCTCTCCGACGACATGCCAGTGACGATGCCGCGGTGAGATATCTTGGATGTGGGGACGGAGACCATGCGGGTGAGTGTTTTACTCACACAGGTGGTTTCATCGGATTGGCTGCCTCTGCGGCACAGTAACTGGAATCTGCCCCCCTCAGAACAGTATCTGATGCATTGGCAGCATTGCTGATTCGTCGCACTGGTACTGGCGGCTGGCCTGGCGAACACGTATGGGAGTGCTACATGCAAAGACCGTCTAGTGCTTGCTGTACTCGATTCCGCTGGAAGCCGTCGTCGTCAGGCGAAAATTCCGGCAAAGATGACAGTGAGAAGCAAAGAGGGTATCGGATCAATCGGTAGTGCCACGTAAGAAATGATTTCTCACGTCGCCCCTTTTCTCGTCGTTCAGCTTCTCACTTGATTGTCTCACATCTGCCTTATCCTTCCACTGCCTCTGCCAAGTAGTGCTGGCCTATTAATGTTATGCTGATGTTAAGTATGATACTGACCCATTTCATTCAATTAGGCCACGGTCAAGTCAGATTTTTTGGCCGAAATATTTCGGCGGGTTACAGGTTACAGGCAAATCATCCCAAAAAAAACTCCCAATCAGTGAAATTTTTAAATTTTCTGCACCTGCGGTGCACCGAATTTCCTAATCAGGTAATAGTTTACTCGAAATTCGGCCTGCGGCCAAATTGAACATTTCAGCCAAACGGTCATGGGTCACAGGCCCGCTGAATTGATCGAAATGGGTCAGCATATCCAGAATATAAGATTATAATGATATTATATTATTATCTTATTATAAAATATGATGTCCAAAGATATAATATATACATATATAAATTGGATATATCTATAAGGATAACCCTGGAGAGGAGGATCTAAAGAGAGGAAACAGATCTACCTGCTTGGGCACCAATAATATACTAGTCATCCATAACCACAATGTTCAGGCACAGAAGGCCTGACATGATTTATGGACACAAACAAGGGCACTCCAGTTACTCATTGGGAGTGACAAAATCCTTTGCAGAATCTTGAAAGATGCCTTTACTAGGGCTGTAGTTACTCTACGTTATGTGAAGCTGGGTTGCAGTGGAGAGGATGTCTGATGGTAAAGCCCCAGGATTAGTAAGAGAACAAGGTTTGAGCTGCCAAGAAGCTATTGTGTGTCCAGACATAGATGGATGTTGGAGTTAAGAGGTGTGTAGCTGTGTTGTGTCAGATGACACTTATGTAATGATGTCGTTGTCGTAAGTCCTAACTGAGGTATGTTGTTGCTGGCAAGAATTTACTTTTAAGACAGCACACACAGCACTGTTAGTCTGTTACTAGCAGCACTGTATATGTGACATGCAGCGGCAGTGCAGCAGTACTAGTGCCGCTGAGGCTGTGCGGAGCCATCAGCGGCTGTTTGTACTTGTTTACCACAAGTATGACCAGACATTTTTAAGCTTTTAAACATATTTTCATTGTATACTAGCTGTTGATATGGACATAAATGAAATGAAATTACTCAAACTACATGCAAGTACAAGGATGATGTCATGTGTATGGAAGTGACGCTTACGCTGCTGCTCACCGCGGCTGTGCAAAGTGCCACTGTAACGCGGCCAATAAGCAAATAAGTAGTTCTTCCAGCATTTTACCGCTGGATTTCTTCATCAAGGATGTCCAGTTTCCAAAACCACCCTGTATACCTGGTCTTTTGCAAAAGATGTGGGCCACTGCCCACCAGTCACAAGCCTGTAATATAACTACTAGATTAAAGAGCCAAATTGATAGCTATGACTAAGCTAATGCTATATATCGTAATGAAAGTCACTATTTCTTCAGGCCGATGATTTGATATGTAATTTAGAACAGTTTATAATACAGGGCAAGGGAATTGATGTAATCACATGTCACATTGATGGAACAGAGCCTATTAATCAAATCAATTAATCTTTATCAAAATGGTTCCACATCAAAGACAATATATAAAGGCATTGATCCCATCATTTATCAGTCATTTTGGCCTTATATACAAGCTCAATAATAGCCAGGTCAGGGATGGCCTGCACCATCTGTCTGGATGCCTACCAACCCTGCACCCGCTCTAGTTCTGTGTGAAATCTGTGCAGAAGCACTAACACAGAATCCAACTAGGCCAAAAGATCACTGTAACCAGATGCTGGTCATATGCGCTTCTACTATATATAGCTGGTATACACATTTGCATGCATGTAACATAAAATCTGTAACTGGTGCACCAACCACATGCTTAGACAACCTTGTGTATGTCCATCTGTAGACTTAGTGGATTTACATAGTAACATCACACTTTTTCTTTCTATTTACACTACATTACTGTACATGTAGGATAGACCGAATCACCCCCCAGCCAAGGATCTTATTATATCTTAGACCCTTTGCTGAGCTTTTTAGTATTTTTAGGCCACCCACACCTAGTTTCTACTATTTCTTTAAAAGTCTAAATATAAAAAAAAAATTTGCTTAGTAACGCTCCCACCCTGCCTTAGTATGATATCCCCAGGACCAGCAAGCGTTCTAAAACACATATACAATCTAACTAACATATTACCACCAAGAATGTAATCTCCATGCAAACTCTTCTTCCCCACTTCTCCTAGGAAGATCTGGCTACGCTTCTACCAGTTTTCACTACCTCTTTTCCATTAATGCCCTATGCACTAACACTTGTCTCTGTCTTCTGTTCTAAGCCTATGGCTGTGCCACGACTAGTCAGCACTACCTCTGTTTTGCTATCTAAGCACACGCAATAGTGCTATTAACAGAGCCCTTCCCTTTTTCTTGTTAATATTTAAGCCCGAGGTCTTCTATAAGGTTAAGTAATTATTGTTTATAATGCTAAAATATTGTAAAATATTCTAGTAGGTACACTAGTAGTATATAAGTAGTATTATTAGAGCCTTAAGCCCAGTATGTTATAACTGATAGCTTAACAGCTAGTATGTCCAAGTTAATGCAACCAAACTGAATCATAATACCTTTTAGTCATATACTTTTGACACAAACAATTGGGCTACTGATTGTTCTACTAGGAATATAAATTTTTTCTATGCACCTACAGCGGTGCTATTGTGAGAGCACTTCCCTTCCTTTTAGCAATTTACCTTTCTAAACACCTAGCCATAAAATTAAGCTCACTGTCTGTTCTAATCTATCCCTATGTTTAACTACCAACTTGGAACTTAAAAAGTACAATACTCCACGCTAAATCGATGATCACATACTACACTTTAATATTCTTAACAAGTAAAACGCTTATAAATACCTGATTTAACATTCTTATTAACTTATTATAGTTTTCTACTGTTCCTTTCGCTTTTCGTTATGCTTTCCATCCAACTTACAAGTAGTAATAGCAAATATATCAGCGCTATCTGCCCTTTCTATAGTTTCTAGAGTGGTAACAATATTAAATACATTAGCACCATCTATTACAGCATATTGCGCCACTACATCTATTTCCTCATTTACTGCTTCCCTTTTCTAACATGGCCACTGTTACACCTATATACACCTGGACAGCTTTCTTATTATTATTATTTTTTAATATAAGAACTTTTTCTATTTTGTTTACTTGACCACCTATTACTTTCTTGCTATATTTAGTTACTTTTTGTTCGCTGTTAGTTAACCAATCTTTAGTTTTACAACAAGCCTACTTGTAGTAATTATTACTACACCTGCCCTTGCAAATAACATGTTCTTTATTTGCAATGCAGCTTGTTGTTAGTATACTACAGTTACAAATATTATAAATCTTGACTCAGACCTTAGTCGAGATGCTCTTGTCAGCCTATTGCTTATTTATAGTTGCATTCCCCTAATACTATCTCCCCTTATGTTCTATAATACTTTCTTGGTAATTATCACTTATATGCTATCTCTTGAGGCTTTATTTTAGAGTGGAATCTTAAAGGTGTTTTACTCTGGTATACAACTTTAGTGCAAAAATAGGTTTTCCTTAGATTTAACTTTATAATATTCTCTCTGTGTATGAGTGACGAGTGGCCTATAGACAACTCCTCCGTGTCCTCAAATTCTCTGTTGATCTTCCAGCTGGGTGTGGGGTGACTGATGCCCCTGTACTTCTTGCTGCAATTCAACCAGTCAAAGAGCCCAAGAAAAGCCCATACCCATTTCCGGTATATCAGGATGGTCAATTCTAGCTAATCGAGGTTATCGATGTTGATGATTTAAGCTGTTTGGTCGCGCGTGTACCAGCTAATAGCAGTGGCCCATGCATCTACGCGCTGTATGAGCGTCCAGACTCAATGGGATCTGCCTAAAAACCTGAATACAATCATGCACTGTTGTGCGATCATGTAATTTTGCGGAAAAATAAATATATTCAAACTTAAACTATGTGTTTTAACAATGTCCAAGACGACGGGTTACTCCACGAGACCCCTGCTGCTGACGAATAGGTGTGGGTAGTACATATAATGTGGGGTCGCTGGCCTTCATCTTCTGGAACGTTTGGTTAAGTAATGGTGCAAGGATTGGGTCAGTCTGGATGGTGTAGGGGCCGGACTCTGAAGGGAGGCATACAGAAGAGGGAGGCGGAGACGAATAGACCGGCGACTACTGACCAGTCAGTGATTCATATTTGCATGAAAAAATAGTACGCACTGTTCTGACCCTTGAGAACCTTTAAATCCCTCTCCAAAGCATCTACTCGGCGCTCCAACATGCGTATGGAGTCTTTCGAGTCATGGCATTCATGGCCTTGAACTTGAAGGGTGTTTTCAACGGCAGATAATGGTTCTCACGCTCGGGTTTGTTGGGGCGATGAGGTGTCTCGATACCGGCGCCGGCGACGTTGACCAGCAGCTTCTGCAGCTAACCGTTCACGTTCTTTCTCAGGCTC